GGGGCACCTACCCTGTTAATCTGATATTATTTGCTGTTTCATCACAAAGATGCACTTATCTGAAGCACACATTTTCAGTTCTGTATCTCCCTGCATAGGTATGTGTACAGTTTTAATTTCTTTTTCTTGTCTTCAGGTTTAGAGTAACTCAATTCTTCGGTCTGCTAAATTTACCAAGAGGGTTTCAGTTTCTTTTTCAGTAGCCAGAATGTTTTTCAAAGTTTTATTCCGAATGTTGTTTCTTCTCTGGAGAGACTCTTGGACTTTGAAACCTATTCTCATATGGAAAGCCTTGCCTGCCTGGAAATCTGTTCCAGCTTGCTTTGCTGTTCAAAGTGCTGCTTCATGGAATCACTTTATGTCTCCTCAGAGATGTTTTGTCAGAATTTTGCTTATCTACTATTATTGCAAAACAGTCCCCCATCTTAGGCAACCAATCACTTCCTCAACCCCTTCTCATAGGTCTTTAAAGCAAAATGGAAATGAAAATTGTGCCTGCTGTTACGTAGGCTGTGGTGATCTGGCTTTCACCTTTGGACTGTGGGCAGCGTTAGCTGGGATTGCATAAAAATCTTGCAGGAAGAGGAAAGGTTCTCTGAACTGTGCACAGCAAGGGGTTAACACACGTCTGGGGCAGAGGGGGGGAAACCAGGATGGCTGGACTATGCCCCTTTGCTAAGTGGCTGCTTTTTCTGAAGTGCGTGGAAGACAGATGAGAAACCTCAGAGTTGCCTCGGATTATTTTCCTGAGCATACAGCTTCCTCTCTTTGTGGTTAAATATGACAGTTATAGTGCAGTATTTATGCACAGTCAATAAATCAGCAGAAAACGTGCTGCAGTCAGGGGATGTATCTGTAGTCTGTTCCTTATACTTTAGCTGAAAATGGTATTCCTGAATTTGCTGAAACCTGTGCAAAGAAATTCAGGTGCACATCTCCACAGGAGACTTAAAGTCTGATGGCCCACAGTAATGCAGGGTTTGTTCCTCAGCTTCCATTACTGTCCTTCAAACAGCAAACTCAGACTCCTGAAAGGCGGTGGAGAGGCAAGTTTTGGATCAGGTTCCCAATCTCTTAGCGGAATAGTTTCAGAAAGGAGATGGAGTGAGTGAAAGGGGCAGAAATCTTCAAGGGTGAGTCATAATTTCGTGGAAGTTTGTAATGTTGTCATAAAAGAGGGGAAAAAAAAAAAAGAAGGTGCTGCTGAGCAATAACCTGGAAAATACTGGCTTGGGGGTTTTGTTTGTTGGGTTGGGGTTTTTTTCTGTTTTGTTTTTCCAGAAGGGGCTGTGTGACACACTGGCAGAAGCAGCCTGGCCTTTTCTAGTGTCTGGCTTAAGAGCAGCTAACTGCTGATGGGTGAGAATATTTAGCTCTGACACAGCACACCATATCAAAGGACTTGAATTTGCTCAGCTTCTGCCATCTTGAATATAACTGTGAAGGAGTTGTTATTTAGCACAATTTCTTACCTTTCATACTAGAGTCCAGCTGCACACAAATTCTTTAAGTAAATGGGGAATTTCACTTTTCTGAAAGGGATAGCATAGATCTGTGGCTGGCTAAGAACTAAAGCCTTCTGAATTCCCACTGTGGCACTGAAAACTGCACCTTGTGTAGTGCCAAACAAGTCCCTTAGCTCTGGCAGCAGCCCCTTTTTTGTGTTACAGGGATCATACCTCCCCAGCTCACAGCATGGATTAATCTGTATTTTTGTAGCGATTTAGCAGTGATCATTTCTGCTCTGGCTTGAAGCCTTTTAAATTAAGCAGGTAAGTCATCAGGGCAGCTGTATTACACGACCAAGATAGGGAGCCACAGCAGCAGAGGGAGGTTTGAAGGGTTTAGCTGTTGATCCAAGATTTTAAGTAGATAATTTCTGACTAACGTATCAAGTGTGCCACAAATTCAGGTGGCTGATCAGTGCCAAAGCTGAGCATCTTCAGTGCCTAAAGCAGCATGGCCACTGTCTCACAGGTGTATTACTTGTTCAGGGCAGAAAGCAGCTAGGTGAGAAAAAGGAACAAATGAAGCAATATAAAAGTGTTAAGAAACGAAGACTGTTAGAGCTAAAATCCTGTTAGAGGCAACAGCTTAGACGTTAAACTGTGTTACGACAAGGAACATAAATATAATATTTTATCAGCACAACAGGGAAAAATACCACGGATCCAGCCAAAAATTGACTGGAATTATTACCCCAGAATTATGTTCCTTTTTACTGTGGGATAGAATATCCACACAGCAACTATTTCAAAATATTTAATTATAGGAGAGCTTAATCTGCTGTAGCTGTTGGGATTAATTTCCCCATAGAGACAATTTCTGTAACTATTGCAGTTGAAAAAATGTAGATGAGTGTAATTTCAATTAAAACCCAAGAAAAGTTTATACTTTATAGAGGTGACAAATGCCTGCCACCACATCTGCCAGGTAGTCAGCACTGCAAACACAAACTCTATGAAGGAGCAATAAAGAGCCACTCTAACTGCATTCATGCACGTTAGCAACCATGGTATCTGTTATTTTCAGGAACAAAAAGTGCCTCATTGAACTAAATATATGTCTTGCATTATGCCCAGAAGATTGCTAGATTTCAGCTCTTGTGGTGTCCAGCAGGAGCAGGATCCAAAAGCCAAAATCCTCAACAGAGAAAGAGGGACAGTGTGTGAACCTTGCCTGCTGCTGCCCTTGGAAAGGTCAACTTCTGAAACAGGAAACAAGACTTTCATCTTGACCTTTAAATACTGTGTTTGGATGGGAAAGAAGTGGCTTTTAGATAGCTGGCAGTCTGGAATGAAAAAAAAAAAAAAAGAAAATGGTGATGGTATGAACTTGTAATTGTTTAGCATTTCATACAGCCTGACTCGAGGAGGTTGCAGGACACAGGGCCTCTGGGTTGCCAGCTGGAATTGGCTGAGGTCAGCTGGAGGCAGAAGGGAGTCTCTGATCTCATCAGGTTGACGTGAGAGCAATGCATAGGTGGCCTCATTGAGTTCCCAGTGCTGGGACCTGGCGGTGGTAGCTGGCATCTTCTACCAATAGTTCAGTTTCCATTCAGGCCTTTGCAAATCCATTCCTATCCAGGAGTAACATGGAGTTGTACAAAAATACAGTATCTGCATTTTTATCTTATCTGTAGAGATTCAAATCGCATTTGTTTCAGTCTGGCTCCATTCATGTGCACTAATCACTTGCTTAAAAATATTTATCTGTTTATCCCTCCTGGCATTTTTGCTATGATTGTTAAAATTCAGAAACCTTGATCACCACTGCACTTGCACATATGCAGCTTATGGAGAGGGGCTGGATAACGGAATGGAGTCTCCAAGTTTGGAAGGATTTATTTTCAAAATGAGCTGCTGCTTTTCAGCTATTACTTTATCTACTTTTGGTTCAATTGAATTAAATAATGTGATTATGTTTTTATGAAAAATATTTGCAGAATGTTTTTGAAAAGATAAACTTCTTTCTAAAGCCAATATGGAGACTTTACTGTCCTGTATTCAGGTGTTGGGCTTTTTCTGGTGACAAAATGGATGAATTAAATGAGTTTAGATCTCTGATTAGTTTGATCAAGACGCATAATGGTATGTTTACAAACATTCATATTTCGTAATGCTTTGTAATGGGGATGTTAGAATTCACCTGTGGTGTTGTGAAACAACAGTACTGTCCAGTGCTTCACAAACCAGAGAACCGAAACTGACCCTGCCCACTGCTCAAATGAACGGCAAACAAATATGCAGAAAAAGACAGGTTGGAAGGTATTATCAGTTTATTATTTTAAAGTAAGATTCATGTTGACAGTGCTGCTTTTGTGTGTTTTGGATTCGCTCCTGGAAGCAAACAAGCACTCACGAGCAGACATAGTGCTAAATATTTCTTGAGTTTCCTTCCCCTTATCCAGTTACCATTGCTGGTGCTGTCGGGGCCATCCAGTGCCACTCGCTCGAGGGCTGGGGCTGCCATTTGCTTCCTCGGAGCAGGAGACCTTGAGGAGGAGGCTCAGGGGGGACTTTATCCCTCCCTACAACTCCCTGACAGGGGGTTGTAGCCAGGTGGGAGTCGGGCTTTTCTCCCAGGCAACCAGTGATAGGACAAGGGGACATAGTCTTAACCTGTGCCAGGGGAGGTTGAGGTTGGACATTAGAAAGAATTTCTTCACAGAAAGGATGATTTGACATTGGGATGGGCTGCCCAGGGAAGTGATGGAGACACCGTCCCTGGAGGTGCTTAAGGAAAGACTGGACATGGTGCTTGATGCCATGATCTGGGTCACACGGTGGTGTTGGGTCACAGGTTGGACTTGACGATCTCAGAGGGCTTTTCCAATCTAACTGTTTCTGTCATCCCTTATTTCAGACAGACTTTTTAAAAATTATTTTTCACCTGAGTGTTTGGAAATAATGCAGGGTTTAGGTATCCTCAGTTTTGCCACAATTAATTTGTTGCCATCCTGTCTCGATCCCCGTACACTGAGGTGCCCTGCCCCTGTGTGACACCCAGTTCCGAGCTGTGACAAGAGACAGCAGTTACCTGACTACGAAAGCACCGCACGTGGAGGGCTGAGGATTTAGTGCTTTAAGTGAAACCTGTGCGGACCAGGAACGGGGGAGGCGATTATGTCACCGGGCGTGCAGCTGAGCTGCTTCGCTCGGCTCCCCGGGGGCCAGCGCGCGTCTCCCGTCTGCTCCCCTCAGCCCCGCGGGGCTCCCCCAGCCCCCGAGGGCTGCGCGGGGCGGTGCGGGGCGGCGGTGGGGAGGTGACTCCGCCGCGGTTACCGGCGGGGTAACGGGGGGCACGCGGGGCCCGCCCGCGAGGGGCCGCGCGGTCCCTGGGGCGCGGGGCGGGGGACCCCGCAGAGGGGCGGTGTGTGCGCGTGTGTGACAGGTGCGGTGCGCGCGCGCGCGCGCGCCCGCCCCCCCCCCCGCCCCCCCCCCCCCCCCCCGTTCCCCCCTCCCTCCCCGTCGCGAGCGCGAGCGCGCGCGCCTCCATGAATATGCAAATGCGGGTATAATTGCCAGCCAATGGCGTGCGCGCTGGTCACATGGTGCTGGTGGAGGCTCAGGGAAGAGAAGTTGAGTCCGGGCGAGCTCGGGCAGCGCCGCCAGAGCCGAGCGAGCGGCGGGCGAGCGCCGCGCCTCCTCCGCAGGGAGCCCGCCGGCCGGGGCTCTGCCTGGACCATGCCGATCCTCCTCTTCCTCATAGACACGTCCGCCTCCATGAACCAGCGGGCGTACCTGGGCACCAGCTACCTGGACATCGCCAAGGGCGCCGTGGAGATCTTCATGAAGGTGAGTGCGCGGCGCCGCCCCGGGGGGAGCCGCCGCCCCGCTCGCTCCCCCCCCCCCCTTCCCCGCACCTTCGCCGCGCTCACGGCCGCTTCTCTCCGCTCTCTCCGCAGCTGCGGGCCCGCGACCCGGCCAGCCGCGGCGACAGGTACATGCTGGTTACCTTCGACGAGCCGCCCTACTGCATCAAGGTAATGAACCCCCCCGGCCGCCCCGGTCCCGCCGTGGGGGCCGCCCTTGGCGCGGCGCGGCCCCGTCCGGCCCGGCGGCGGCAGCAGCAGCCTGTGAAGATGGCGGACATTTTGCTTTTGTATGGAGGAGAGAGGCTGAGGGCGCTGCTGAGATGGAGGAGGGGGGGGGAGGAGACGGGCGGGCCGTGATTCACCGCCCCGGCGCAGCGAGGGGCGGCCGCGCTCCGCCCACCGCGGGGCGGTGGCTCCGCCGGGGCCGCGCCGGGATCCGGCCCCGCTCGGCCCCGACACCCCCGGGACACGCGGGCGGGGTGCGGGGGGTGCGGTGGGTACTGCCCGATCCCGGAGAGCAGCGCTGGGGCAGCGGCCCCCTCACGGCTGCGGGTCCCCGCCGGGCCGTGGGACAGGGGCTGTGGGTGTGGGACGGAGCGCCCGCGCCTGTTTTCCGCCTCTGCGAGGCAAGAAGAAGCCACGGTGTTGGGGTCCCGTGTCCCCCCCATTCCTCCTGCTGAGCACGGTGACCCGCACCGGTACTGTGTAAGGTGCTCGTAATCGCCGCTCCGTGCAGGGCTATGATGAGCTGGACGTGGAGACAAAATCATCCAGGTTGGAAGAGACCTTTAAGACCATGCAGTCCAACCGTCAGCCCGGCACTGTAACCCCCAACCCACCCAACCACATCACCCAGCGCCAGATCCAGCTGCCTCTTAAACACCTCCAGGGATGGTGACTCCACCACCTCCCTGGGCAGCCTATTACAATGCCTGACTGCCCAAACAGTGACAAAATTTTTTTCTAGTATCTAATCTGAATCTCCCCTGCCTCGGTCTGAGGTCGTTTTTGCTAATCCTCTCACTGCAGGCACGGTTGAACCCACCTCACTACAAACTCTTCTCGGGTAGTTGTATAGAACGATGAGGTCCCTCTGAGCTTTCTTGAGACCAAGCTCCTCTCATCCCTGTTTTCTCCTTCCTCCAGGTTGAGGCAGGTAGTGCCATGCAGTTCATCGTGTCGGCTGCACCACGAGGTTGTGGCAAGAGTGAAAAAAAAATCACACTGTGGGCCTTACACTGTAGGCTGGAACTTGCTGATAGAAATGTCTGACTTAAAATATCTAGATAAAGCATGTCACAGAAAGCATTGCTATGGGAGTTTTAGAATCCTCCTGAATAGTCCTGGATTAGGACTCTGTCTGCCCTGACTAATGCAGTAGTTATCCTAGCTGTTGACCAGTAGAGCCATTCTATGAAGGCCAAGGAGGTTCATGTAAAAATACACTGCTAGTCATCCCAGGGAAGAAAGGAAAACACTCTCTAGATCCCCCAGCTAGAACTGCTTGAGAAGTTGTAAAAATAAGTACTCAGTGATGCTGTCTTATTCATATCTTTGATAATGAGGGAATATAATTATCACGAGCTATGAATTTTGCATCCTTTCATGAGTAATGAATTTATACAACTGTCTGAAGTGACAGGTGATAGAGTGAGTCAGTGTTTATTGTTTGGTACTGCACCTTTCGTTTCCTCAGAAGAAAGTGTGGAAGTAATTTCTGTGAATTAAAACCATCCTTGAGTTACAGAAACCTACTGTCCAAAGACTGTCTGCCTAGAAGAGGTGTTTTTTAGACATAATGCACACACCCTTCTCCCCATCCCTGTTTGTGGCTGGGTTCAAACCCCAAATCTTTGCTGTGCTAGTGTTAACTCTAGATTTCTTCAGTTTGGATTTTTTGTCTCCTAGTTTTGTGTCAAGTGTTTTACAGGTGTATCATAGGTTTGATGAATGAACCTTCTCCCTACAGTGATAGCAAGCATACTGGTGATTTAATAAAAGAAGATGACTTTTCTGCTGGAGGTCTGTGTGGTAATGCTACAGGTTATTACCACATCTACACTCAGATTTGCTGAGGAAAATCCTTGTGTTTAATGAGCATCTGTGTACATTCTAATGTGCTAATGAGCATCTGACTGTGTTCCCAGTTTAAGTAAATAGTAATTGAAATAAATAGGACTGTGTGATACCCATCATAGCATTCAGTCATGTTTGAGATGCAGTAAATAGCCAAGGGAAAAAAAGTATTGTGGTTCTTGTAACTTGCTAATGTCACTTCTTAGAAATTTGTTTTTCTGCCTTTAGCTGGTTTTTGAGTTACACCTGGAATAATTTTAAAATATTTTTTCAAAAATCAGTAGCTTTTGTAGGAACAGACTGCAGATCCAATAAATATCTCATTATAGTAATTATGATCACAACTCCAGTTCAAGTATTGCATGAAGACTTCATGGCATAAATGAGTGTTGTTGGGCTGTCACTCTGTCTGTTCCTCAAGCAAAGAAAGCCACACAGCAGCAACATGACTCTTTCCCTCTTCAAAGATGTGTTCTCAAGACCTGTGCTGTTATTTATGATATTCCCTCTGTTGTGTTTTCTAAAAACCATAGTTATGCCAGGAAAACTTCCTAGTCTGGGCCAAATTCTGTGTGTCTTACAAAACATGCTTGTAAAAGACATAAAATTAAGTTTCTTTACTCATGCTGCTGCAGTTAGGTACTTTATCTCCCTTGATTTAGAGAAGGTGAAAACAAACTTGGCAAGTGAATGTGTTTTACGAGTTTGTTTTCCAAGTATGCACAGCAGCGGCTGGTTTTGGTTAGTGGCTGCTTTATCCTCTTGTTTTCTTTATGATTACCCTAATTAAATTATATAGTCTCACAGATAGTTTACCAGTGGAGCAATTGAAGGAAATAATCTGGAGGTGGAGTCGAGACCACCTGGGAGGCAGAGGTATTATGAGAACTTCAGTTTGGAGCAGGGGTGGCTGAGATGAGCTCCTTGGGTTTCTTTGTTTCACAATTTGTTTACCTGCAGCCTTAAAGTATTTTAAACCAACAGCACTGGGTCACTTTTGATGGACAAGAATATCTCAAGCAAACGTCATGCACATGGTGGTATTGTGCTAAGTGGAAGGATTGTGCTATTGCACGAATTATTTGATAAAATCTCTGGAAGTAAGATGATGTTCTTGGAACTGTCTTTAGTACAAAGGATTTGAAATAATTTCCAAGACCTGTTGCTCCTGTTTAATTGACTGCTCGTAGCTCTATGTTTGTACCAGTTTTTAAAAATGGGATTATTTAGTCTCCCAAGTTTGCAGTGTGGCTCTGCAAAGCTCTGTGAAGAGGAGGCAGGGTGCTGTCCTGGGAAGGTGGGGACAGGGAGATGGGGATGGCAGGAATCTTAGTCCCACTCAGACAGAAGATGCCTTTGGAATCTCATCAGCTGTTTTGCTTCTGTTTGTTACATAATGTATAAGATGGTGATTTGTGACAGCAATTATGGTGCAGCCATTTACAACTCTTACTTTGATTCTAAAATACTCTACAGTAAGGGACAAATATTTAATATTTTAAAAGCATGTTATTAAATACACTAACCTTGTAACTGTCGAGCGATGTGATCCTGTATAGGTCAGTGGAAAAATACCTGTAAGTTCCATTGAGTGTTGGGTCAAACTGTAATTTTATGGACCAGAAGGGAAAAATTATATGTTATTTCAGGAAGTAAGAATGTTCAGCCTAATGTTTTTAGTGTGTTTTTTAGATTCAAATTGTAATAGGATACTGTCAAGTGAGTCTTGTCAGGTTGTTGGCATGTTAACAGCATGGCAGTGAGCCGGTCCATTCTGGTATTTGGGTATCTGATTTTGCGTTTTTGGCACCATTGGGAACCTAATGATATCTGTGGTAAAGGGCCTTTGTAACAGGTGTCTATTACTATTAAAACACCAGTGCTTAAATTTAGGTAGTGAAGGAGTTTACTCTCCCATGTGTATCCAATTGGGTGAGAAAAATGGGTTCAAGAACAGCCTTTGCTGACACGTTATTTGATGTTCTCGGCCTCTGGGATAAGAGAAGTGCATTATCTGATTCAAGGAATATAGTACCTGATGTGTCCTAAGATTTAATTAGTGGATTAATATATTCATGGATTGCTGGAACTCGGAGCTTGCTCCATCCCAGCCGTGGTGTGACCTGGTGTTGCAGTACTTCCAAGCCTTGTGTGCCAGCCCCACCCTTCTCATCCCTTCCTGCACGATGTGGCTGATCTGGAATGCCTGGGGAGGAGGGTGAGAACAGGCCAGACATGTTACTGACAGCTCTGCAGAGCCCTTCCCAGGCTCCCACCGTCTGTGGTTCAGAGACCCATGGTGTGCACTGGTACAGCTGTAAAGGTCTTATCTGGCTTTTTCCAGGTATTTGCCCGGTTACTTTTTCTGAAGTCACATGAATTTCGTCATCCTCAGCTGTGTTTTTTTCCTCTGTCAGATATACATGTTTCTCTACACCTAAACCATGGTGTAAATGGACAGAATCTTAAATGATTTTATTTTTTTCCTGAAGTAATGGTGCCAGAGTAAAAGTATGGGGAGAAGGGAAGAGTGTTCTCACCTACCCTTTCCCCCAGCTTTTCCTGTTTTCTAGTGATGAGGTTTCAGTAAGATCTACCTAAATTTCTCTGAAAACGGAGCTCATGCCAAAATCTCAACCTAAAAAGAGTTTTTGAAAAGGAAAGCAAGGTTTTAGCTCTTGATTTATTTTTTTCCATTCTAAATTTTTGCGAAACCTCACATCCTGCAGTTTGTGGTTTGCTTGTGGGTTTGGGCTGCAAATGGCTAGTTCAGGCCCAGACCAAAAACACAATGGTGGCCTTATGTGAAGTTATTGATTAACTGGACTGCCCTGTTCCCTTGTGACTGATATCTGGCTGCTGGCGGTGATACGGTCTTTCCTCAGGGCTTGAGGAATATTATTCATGATCAGGTCACAGAAATATGGCTTTTGTTTTATGTTCTTGTGAGACTGTAGTACGACCTTCATAAATGATCTATCTGGTCACAAATCAGAGGACTTAGAGAACTTATGCTCTGAAATACGTATTGTCCTCCTTCTGTTACGTGTTGTGTTGAATTCAAGAGCCAGCTATGACTGCACTACAAAAAT